ATCGTTTTTTTTCCCGTAATATTTCTTGGAGGGGAAAAAAATGTCCTTGCGCAAACGATGAAAATACCGAGTTTCCCCTCTTTCCTCGTTGTTTTGCGTGTAGTCGTTTGTTTCTATCCATCTGTAATCCGCGTGTCTGATCGTCTCTACTTATTTGTTTTGTGAGCAGGGATTAGAGTTTTGCTTACTTATCTTTCTCTCAGTTTTTTGTTCTTCTTCTATTGTAAGTCACCCTGTTTGTTGTTGAACAGTAATTTTGCTGATGGTGCATCTGTTATTCATATTTTTTTTTTTTTTTATTCAATGTTTTAGGATGATCATGAATAGTGATAAAGGATAACTTAGTTTTGGATTTTAAAATCACTCAATTTTTTGGCAAACTAACAGACAGTTTGAAATGCAGTTCTTCAATTTAAAATGTACTAACACTTCAAAATATTAATTGTATGGTTAAATTGAAATTTACCTCGTACAAGGAAATAAAACTTTTTATTTGTCGATTGATAAAGATTGTGCGTTTTCAATACTTAAGTTTCATTGAAATTTTGAAAAATTCAGGTATAATCTATTAACTTATGTGTATACAAATGTTGATTTATTTTTTAAATATTTAGACTGTTACGTGCGTTAGTATATTGATAATAAAAAAAAATTTATGATTTAGGGTAAAAACTTTATGCAATCGTCAATCTAACTTTTTGAGCAGGATCAAAAATTTTCAAATGATTATGTAACCATGCAAAATCTATCTTAATCATTTTATTCTTACCTCTTCAGCTGGTTCACCATTTTTCCCTTTTTTGTTTTTGTCCTTTGAATTAGTATCCTAAAATGAAAGTTGTATTATTAATACAGTATATTTAATATAATAACTTGTATTTATCATGAATGACGTTTATATGTAGCAAGTATTTAAAAACAAACACTGATGAATATGCACATAATAAAGTGACCACTAAATTATAAGTCCCTTGCTTATTTTGTATCGATTCAAATGTGTATTAAATATTATACCTCTTGCATTTCCTCTATGAAATAAAACATTTCAATTACTTCATGCAGTTACACACTCCTACTTCAATCATGCCAAGGATAACATATATGTATAATGGAAAATTTCTTGCAGACTTGGGCAAGTGATAAAGTGCATCATATATATTTGAAGCATTCATAAATCAAAAAGGAAAAAAATGCTGCATAATAATGCAACACGCAGTTATGAGAAATAAAAAACAAAGAAAAAGTTCATGACAAACGTACGTACAGATATGTGTGAGATCGGAATCAACAAGTGTAACACTAATCTGGAGCAAGTGCAGCAGCAAAAAATGAAAACAAAAATACATCATAAGCAATTGATTAATGTGAAAGTGCAAAACGAGCATGCAACAACAGTTTACAGTGCATAAAAAAAGGATCATGCTGAGCAGGAGTCTTGCTACGTAATGCAAGGAATGGGTAATACACTAGTGACCATCAGGAACCAGCAGACAATAAGTATTAATGACACTTCTAAAACGGTGGTGAAAAAAAAAAATAATAAAACAGCAGGGAGTCAACAAGTAGCAGGTATCACCGTCAAACTTGAGCATATAATACCATTTTGAAGAGCTCTGCAACTCTGGGTGAGCGAGTGAGGGGACGTGGTGGCGGCAGCGGCTGAGGCACCGTTAAAGAGGTTAAGAAGCCCTTCGACGGCTCGTCTCGGGGCTTGTTGATCTTCTTGTTGTTGTTGTTATTTTTGTTGAAGGCGCAAGGCCCCAGGCTCACGATCGTCTCCACCCTGTTCTGCGTGACGAGTCAAGCTTGAGTCGTGGACGTTTTTTCCTCCGATGGTGTACCGGGCACGCGCCTCCACCTCCGCCTCCGAAACTCACTCGCGTCGTCGTCGTCGTTTTTACCGTCTGTTTTCCTAGACTATCGTACAGCCAGCCAGACTCGCGAATCGCGAAAGTTCAATAGATAACAACTAACAACACACACACGCGCGAGCGCGAAAGAAAACAGCCGTCGGAGGAGATGAACAGGAAGAGAGAGAAGACGTCGTCGCCGTCGTTATCACCTGGAGGTTGTGTTTCTTTTGGTTCCACTTTAATTGTATTTTTTTTATTATCTCGCACGCACCTCCCAGCTAACGTTGCTAGTGGCGATGTTGACTCTGCTGGCCCTTCTCGGACGTCTCGGCATTTTCTTCACTTCTTCCTGGTCCACGCATGCAGTAAGCAACACGTACCAGAGTATATATATATACAAAAGTGTAAAAAGAGCTTCCTCCTCCTCCTCCTCCTCCTCCTCTTCTTGACCGTTACTCGTACAGGAACCGCGAGGCACTAGCTCCTCCGATCTAACCAGAGCTAGTCAGAGCACTCAGAGCGTTGATCCTGTAGCAGATGCGTATAAAGAGCTAACAATTTGGGGACAACACAATACTTAATAGTTATAGTCAATCAAGTCACTTGATATAATCCAAGAGTTAAAAAGTGTACACTAACACGCACGTAAAGCTCGGCTTGGTGTCGGTGGTCGGTGTGTATATCGGCTGTGTCGAGACTCGAGACACTCGAGTCGGTCGCTGCTACTACGGCTGCAGGGAACGTATATATATACGAAGAGATGGCGCGATCTCCCACGCAAAGGCTGCACCTGCACGGCAGGACGTTTTACTAAGTCGGATACTAATGTAAAACTGATCTCTGTTTATTTTGATCAACTGTTATGTGTGATATCAGTTATCACGGATCTGCTCGATTGTAAAAACATATATTGTAAAATCTTTTCAGTAACTTCATAAGTAATAAAGTGTAAGAAACAAGATATCTTATACCTGCGAGCGAACACGAGGCACGAAATCACATTCTTTTTGCAATATAGAAAAAAAAATTATCCACTATGTGTACGGGACGGCAGGTTGTTAATTAGGGGCGAGGGGGTGGAAATGGTGTACATCATCAGGTTCGTAACGTTAGTTGTCTACCGATTTGATAACTTAAGATAATACTGGAGATTTTTATTATTAAATATGGGATATGATGACGTGGGGAGACACCAAAAATACTGCAGAAATTAAACCGGAATGTTCCAAAATAGAAGTGTTTCTATTTTATCGGCTTAGCCTGCTTTTTTTAGTACTTAAGTATAAAAGAGCAGCATGACAAATGACAAAATAATGATTTGTCGAATTGATTATCATATGACTCTATGGAAGCCCGGTCACGACATCTGCATAAAAACGGATAGGCAATTATGCATAAGCTGCATAAGCATGCACAAAACAAGTATGTGTGCACAAAAACACGTACGAGTGCACGAAAACGCGCGCTATTCTATTTCATTTACTTAAGTACAGCTTATACTTAATTGTTACATCGTTACGTGGGAAAGAGATTTTTATATATATATTAACTTTATACATATATTTACTTTGGATTTTAT